TTAATGCCACCTCACCCCATCCACCTCACTCAAATGTAGATATAAACAAAATCGGAGATGCGTAAGTTCTATTCAGTTGTGTATTTGTAAACTAAAGTCTTTGAAAATATAATAAGTTTTACGAAACACGCCCGTGTCGCGTCAGACTAGAAATAAAAATGAATTTTGGACAATTGATTTTTGATTTACCTCCAACAGTGAAAGGAAATGTACGAAAGATTGAGAAAATTCGTGTTTGAATTATTAATCTTACTTTTTCGGTCATATTTAATAATATATGTCTACAGGAAAGACTGCTACCAAAATATATATATATATATATATATATATATATATATATATATATATATATATATATATATATATATATATATATATATATATATATATATATATATATATATATATATATATATATATATATATATATATATATATATATTTGCCTCCTGCCTTCTCATTCGGGGGCAGTGCATATATATATATATATATATATATATATATATATATATATATATATATATATATATATATATAATAGAGGATAAAGGATGGAGAAGAAAAAGAAAAGAGGATGAAAAAGAAAAAGGATGGAGGGATCAGGCCGATAGCTGTGGGCAATTCTCTCCGGCGTCTCGTCGCAAAGGCAGCTGCAAGAACAGTTAGTGATGCAGCGGCCAACATGCTGAAGCCAAAACAGCTCGGGTTTGGCATTTCACAAGGGTGTGAGGCGGCAGCCCATGCAGCTCGAGCCTTCATCGCCAACATCACAGACGAAAAGGCCCTTATCAAGCTAGATTTCAAAAATGCCTTCAATTTGGTGCGGAGGGATGCTGTACTCCGTGCGGTTCATAGTCATTTCCCTTCCCTCTACCCTTTTGTACATTCATGCTACAGTATGGATCTTAAGCTACTTTTTGGCGAACATGAAATTGACTCGCGAGAAGGCGTCCAACAGGGTGACCCCCTTGCTCCTCTCCTTTTCTGCTTAGTCATCAAACAAGTCACAGAGGTCCTGTCCAGCGAGCTTAACATCTGGTTCTTGGACGATGGTACCCTAGCTGGTTCCCAAGACTCAATCCTGGAGGACATCAGAAAAATCCAGGAGCAAGGTGCAGTTTTAGGCCTCACCCTGAACCCTTCTAAATGTGAAATAATATTTTCCAACCAGGGCATCGTAGAGAGAATAGAGGGTCTTCTGCCAGATATCCATAAAACTAAACCTGAAGACAGCACACTCCTAGGAGCTCCCCTGGGGTTGAAAGCCATCGATGAGGTACTTGATAAGAAAATCGCCGACCTTAAGAGGATGGATGGGAGGATTGAGGATATTGATGCTCATGATGCACTCTACCTCATCACCAGATGTCTGTCCCTCCCCAGGTTAACCTACTTTCTGAGGTGTTCACCATCTTACAGTAGCCAAAAACTAAGTGAGTATGACCGGTTACTGAAATCAATGCTAGAAAAAGCCCTTAACCTCTCTCTCGATGACCTACAGTGGAAACAAGCCTCTCTTCCCGTAAGACTTGGGGACCTCGGAGTTCGAACAGCAACGCAAATCGCTGTTCCAGCCTTCCTGTCCTCCTTATCAGCATCCGACGACCTTGTGAAGGAAATGCTACCTGCCCACTTACATCAGCTGGCAGGTGTACATGATCCCAATTTTACACGCTGTGCCACAGAGTGGGCCTCTCGTGCAGGCCCATCACCTCAACCACCATCCCCAAAAGCCCACAAGCAATCCAGCTGGGATGGCCCCATTGTAGACCAAGTTGCTGCAGAGTGCCTGGGTGCTGCATCAACACAACACGACATTGCTCGCCTCACAGCAGTAGCAGCACCACATGCAGGGGATTTCCTGTTAGCAACCCCAATGTCGGCAACTGGCACGCGTCTCACACCACACGCCCTCCGAATTGCTGTGGCCCTCCGCCTTGCTGCCCCAATCCACACCAGATATAGGTGTATTTGCGGCGAGGTGGTGGCTGACAGGTACGGCCACCATGGCCTACTCTGCCAAAGCATAGGGGGATGGCACTCGAGGCACAGTGAAGTTAACGACATCATCAAGAGGAGCCTCACCACAGCTGGATGCCCAGCTGAAAGAGAGCCCCGTTACCTAACGCCCCGTAACTCTGATGCTCTTATTGGTCGCCCGGATGGTATCACAGTGAACCCCTGGAAGAATAGCAAGCAGTTGGTATGGGACTACACGTGCATATCAACCCTGGCTAACACCTACATTAACCTCAGTGTTGCACAACCAGGTGGCGCTTCCACCCACAGGGAAGTAGCCAAATCCCTTAAGTATAGAGAACTGGATCACCACTACAATTTTGTCCCCATTGCTTCTGAGACACTCGGCGCCTGGGGTAAAAGTGCTACCAGTTTTTTGAAGGAACTGTGTTCTAGACTCATTGAAACAACAAGAGACCCAAGAGCTGCAAGCTTTCTTTTCCAGCGCCTCAGTGTGGCGATACAGAGGGGTAATGGGCACTGCATCCAGGGTTCCTGCCCGCCATCTGAGGAGCTGGAGGAACTCGACAACCTATGATAACCATCTTTGTGACCCATATGTAACTCCTTTTTTGTAACAAAGTTCAAATAAAGTAAATATATATGTACATACAAAAGAATGGGGGTGGTAGGAGAAGATAATATTAGTGTTCAGTGAGAAACCACAAGGTCTCCTCTGAATACTTTTTATTTTCTTCTCCGAGGCTATGGGTCCCCACATTGGCACCAGAGGTGGTACCCTATATATATATATATATATATATATATATATATATATATATATATATATATATATATATATATATATATATATATATATATATATATATATACAAGAGTTGTTACTTTCTTGTAAAGCCACTAGCATGCGTAGCGTTTCCGTCAGGTCCCTGGAATACGATCCCCGCCGCGAAGAATCGTTTTTACAACCAAGTACTCACTTTTACTGTTGAGTTAAACAGAGGCTACTGTTAAGGATTTACGCCCAGTAAATCCTCCGCGGCCAGGATACGAACCCATGACAAAGCACTAGCGGAATGCCAGGTGAGTGTTTTACCACTACACCACGGAGACTGATTATTAGTCTCAATAAAAATAAATAAATGGACTTAGGAAAAAACGCTTCCTTCAGATTTTAGAGACTTAAACCTTACATATATTACAAATAACCTTACATAAGTTCCATGTAAATTGAATTAAAAATGAAAGAGAAATTTGAGCGTTTATGTTACTTGAAAATAAATAAGTAAAAAATATAGTCTAAGGTGCTGCCATCTGTGACTTGAGTTTGACATCAACCAATTTCCTCCAAAATCTGCACCCTTACAGATAGGCTTACGTGCAGTCAAGTGTATAAGTTTCATGCAAATCGCCCGATAAACAAAAAAGAAAAAGAAAACTAAAAAAAATAAACAAGGGAAATGGAAAGGGCCACCTTGCCCTCCCCACCATCCCCCACTCCCCAGTACCCATATCCTCCCCACCATTTCCCCTCAGCCCCGTCCCCTCGTCCTCCCCACCATTCTCGCACATGAAAAACACAGTTAAAAGAACATATTTTAACTGTCACGGGTGGGACATCTATATAGTACGTATATAAAAACTCGCACGTATTCAAAGGATACGTTGTGTCAAAATTTAAAAGCAATCAATGAAGAACTTTCGTAGATTTCCCCCCACATAAAAATCACTTTTTTCTAAAAAAGCATGTTTTTACCCCTTCAACTGTGCTACACATCATTAGCTGTGGTGGGTAACTGTCGTGGAATTGCGCACCATAGGTATTGATGTGTTGGAGTACCCAACATAATTTAAAGGTTCTGCAGAAACACCGGGTTCACATCAGCTTCCTCAGGGCTCTTGTAAACAGACGCCTCAGCACGTATTCGAATGCAACGTTGCGTCAAAATCTTAAAGCAATAAGTGAAGAACTTTCGGAGATTTCCCTCACATGAAACACAGTTTAAAAAAAAAATCATGTTTTTAACCCTTAAACTGCGCTACACATTACGCACACCGCAGCTGTGGTGAGTAACTGTCGCGGAATTGGCACCACAGGTATTGATATGTTTGGAGTACCCCGCAAGATTTAAAGGTCGCGCTGCAACACGGGGTTCATATCAGCTTCCTCACGGCTTCTGTAAACAGACGCCATTTAAAAAAAATCATCGGCAACATTCCCGGGTGTGAGAGCCTCAGTATCGAGTAAGCAACAAAGGCTGGTGCATGCAGCATGAGTTAACAGCACTGGTGTTCAACTTATCAAGAACCTCAATACTTGATACGCTGAGGTTCATGGAGCCTTGGCTATCTGGGTTCGAATCCTTCAGGGGGATGAGGAGTTTTCGGTTGCATTGATTTGATTATTGTCATACACAATAATCACACACACTTTTGCTATTTTTACTATATATTTACTCAATCGTTTGCTATTATATACCACTAATATTTCAATGTCACAGGTTATGAATAATCAAATAAATTAAAAAATTTCCCCTTCTGATCATCCAATATTTTGTTTCAGTGGAACTTGCCTGATAAATAGTTTTGTTACAGATAATTCTGCCATGTGATAATGGATTTATATCTTTGAATAATTTCTGAGATCTGGAATGTATTCAATTGTATATTTTTCTTTTTTGCTTGGATGGTTGATGTTGTATTTATTTGTAGCAGTGGTTTTCTGGCTTTTATTTAAGGAATAATTTATGCAATAATAAATGTGAGACTTATATATAGTCATTATATTTATTTCTTTATTGCTGTCTTTATATTCCTTTTTCAGTTTTCCTTTTCCCAAATTTTACAACAAAATTAATTTAACTGGACAAAGCTTCTTATTAATTATCTAAAATTTTTATTTGTCAAAGTTCTTGTTCTTGTTACTGATTATTGTCATTTTGACTTTGGTAATTATACAGTTTACTGTAAATATTACCTTGTTTAAATATATAACATTTTGGTGTATACATTTGCAGTATGGAGTGGAGTCATCACCAGAGTGAAGCTCCTCCACAAGTGTCCCAAGTGGAAGAGTTGACTAAAGTCCAGGTGGTGACCCGTGACCAGCCCCAGGGACCAGGTGGTGACCCGTGACCAGCCCCAGGGACCAGGTGGTGACCCGTGACCAGCCCCAGGGACCAGGTGGTGACCAGCCCCAGGGACCAGGTGGTGACCAGCCCCAGGGACCAGGTGGTGACCCGTGACCAGCCCCAGGGACCAGGTGGTGACCCCTGACCAGCTCCAGGGACCAACTGAGGCCGGACCTAATTACCCTCACATAATTAACCAACTTTTTCCACCTGTGATTGTAATGTTAAACAATAAAACTCAATACAATACTTTTTTCCTCCCTTGTAGGAAATATTTGATGTGTTGAAGTTAACACTTAGTAAAATTAATATCAGTATCCTATATGCTTTATTCCATATGTTTATGCATTGATTATTTGCTTATGATCCCTGAGATTATGACTCTTAGATATTTCTCCCGTTAATACCTCACATATTCAATATTGTCCAGGTGATATATGGGAACTTTAGTATTATTATTACTAAGCTCAAATCCCAACATTTTACAGCATTAAACTGCATCCGCTAATCTTTTGTCTTTTAGCACTTTTGGGAGTTTAACTCCCACATGGAAGTTAAATTGACGTGGGATTTAACTCCATTCATGCCAACTCTCTGCTGTCTTTTTTTAATAACCAATAACGAAGGTGTAATCCAACTTAGGATAAACCCCCATTACTATGTACCTCCAGCTCTTTAGGCTTGTGTGGCGCAGTATCAAAGTCCTTGTTGACGTCAAGTTAAAGAATGTCACAATCTTTCCTGCTATCACCTTAAAATTTTCAGGAAAAGAATGATAGAAAATCTGCTTTACAATACATAAGCACCCTGCATAATGTTTTGTCTGGCTCTAGGGGACTAGTTTGCCTTTAGATTGCATATTTGTTTAATAACTTCCTCGCTAGTAACTACTAAACTAGTCCTCTCGACCTTCAAAGATTTGTTCTGCTTAATTCTGCTTAATGCATAGTTAAGTTTCTTTAATAAATACAGAGACGAAGAATTAATTTGAAAAAGGTCATATATCTTTTTCATTCTCAGTTACCTGACCTGCCTCAGATTATTAATTGGGAAGTCTTTTCTTTAATCTTTGTTTAATATATCAGGCAAAAACGTTTTAGAAATTGTCATTGCTTAGTCTGCTTTACACACTTCCTAATTTCTTGATGCTTTCATTATTTCTTTAACATTTCTAACTAGTTTGGGATTTTGTTGTTCAAGATTGACTTCCCCATTTTAGGCCATTGATCAAAGTTTTTTCTACTGATAAGGTTTTTAATCCCATGATTATCCATCTAGGGTCATTGTTGTATGACCTAACCAATCTAGATGGTACACTACACTTTTGACCTTTATTAAGCATGTATGTAATAAATTTTTTGAATATTATTAACAGTTTTTTAATTTCCTTTTCCTATATCCTTTCACCCATGTTAATACTTCAGTCATGTTGCCCTTTACTCTTAACCTCCCACTATTAACCTCCTTACTATTAACCTTACTATTAACATCCCACTAATAACCTTAACATATTGGTAATAAATATGTTTAAATGTTCAGTATCTGACGGAATCCTGCCTCTCGATGTGGCGAGAATATTAGCAATAGGCTCAGATAAAGAAATATTAATTTATATTAACACTACCGTTATTGAAATTAGTAACTACTGCAATTAGCATATAATAATGATGTATTATAATACAAAGGTACTGTGTAAGTGTTGGAAATTTCCAACACCCTGCATACCAGTGACCATGGTCAAAAGCATCAGCACCTCCTCCCTAGCTGCCCTACACACCAGTGACCATGGTCAACAGCACCAGCACCTCCTCCCTAGCTGCCCTACACGCCAGTGACCATGGTCAACAGCACCAGCACCTCCTCCCTAGCTACCCTACACACCAGTGACCATGGTCAAAAGCATCACCACCTCCTCCCCAGCTGCCCTACACACCAGTGACCATGGTCAACAGCACCAGCACCTCCTCCCTAGCTGCCCTACACACCAGTGACCATGGTCAACAGCACCAGCACCTCCTCCCTAGCTGCCCTACACACCAGTGACCATGGTCAACAGCACCAGCACCTCCTCCCTAGCTGCCCTACACACCAGTGACCATGGTCAACAGCACCAGCACCTCCTCCCTAGCAGCCTGTTACGAACCCGGATCCAACGTCCGAGCCCGGAGCAGTGACGACTGCGCCATCTGTGGATCAGCTCCCAAAACCCCCTCCAAACGGACGACGACACCTGGTGAGGACGACGTGTACTGGCTACGAGGGCCAGTTTCCAGTCCCGTTCAGCGCTCAACACAGCCGCTGCTGACCTCTGGTGAGGTGAAGCTCAGACAACTGCGCCATCTATGGAGTGGATAGGTGGGCGTTTGTGCCTGAGCCCGTAAGTGAGGTGTTTTAGTGTGTCCCAGTTATTGATGACGTGTCTGCTTACAGAGTCGACCTGGGACTGCTGTGATGGAAGTTGAGTCAGTCTACCCAAGGCAGCCGTCTCCATACCTTGTGCTTTGCTGCAGCAGCTGTGAAGTCGTCCCCCCGAAAGAACACTGTGGTGTTACCCTGCCAGTGGAGTGGCAGTAGAAGGATTACCCGGGACCGACTGCTGGAGACGATTATCCACTGGGGTACTGAGGACAGGAGAGTGATTTCTGGTATCACACGAGGCTCCTGTCTAGGGCGTTACCCTAATATCGTTCGTGGAGTGGCCTGACCAGCCTTGCTGATCCGGAACCTGCCAGCAGACCTGCTGGACTTGTGGTTGACGGCCTCCATGGCGGTGCCCCCAGTGGACCCGTGTTTTGGCTGGCCTGTGTTTGGGGGTAGACTCAGCTTGGTCGAAGGATTCGTCAAGAGACCACGAAAGCACCGAGGACTCAGCACCGAGTATTTGGATCCAGAGTCTTCAAGAGAAGAGAAGACGATTGTGTATTTCCCCTGTACAGTGTTAATACCCCTCCTCCTGTGCACTCTTTTATATATTATTTATTGGTGATGGGAATAATTATAATCTTAAGTTCCTAACTTTCTTTCCCTTCCCCCTTTAAGTTTCTTGCGTCACGGATCTCATTCCTTGAAAGCCACTACTGGCTTGGGGCCGGATACTACTTACTCTAATAACATCAGAGTGAGAACCCCGTTGCGTCCCGAGAGGGCCGTAACACTGCCCTACACAACAGTGACCATGGTCAACAGCACCAGCTCCTCCTCCCTAGCTGCCCTACACACCAGTGACCATGGTCAACAGCACCAGCACCTCCTCCCTAGCTGCCCTACACACCAGTGACCATGGTCAACAGCACCAGCACCTCCTCCCTAGCTGCCCTACACACCAGTGACCATGGTCAACAGCTCCAGCACCTCCTCCCTAGCTGCCCTACACACCAGTGACCATGGTCAACAGCACCAGCACCTCCTCCCTAGCTGCCCTACACACCAGTGACCATGGTCAACAGCACCAGCACCTCCTCCCTAGCTGCGCTACACAACAGTGACCATGGTCAACAGCACCAGCACCTCCTCCCTAGCTGCCCTACACACCAGTGACCATGGTCAACACCACCAGCACCACCTCCCTAGCTGCCCTACACACCAGTGACCATGGTCAACACCACCAGCACCTCCACCCTAGCTGCCCTACTCACCTGTGACCATGGTCAACAGCACCAGCACCTCCTCCCTAGCTGCCCTAGACACCAGTGACCATGGTCGACATCACCAGCACCTCCTCTCTAGCTGCGCTACACACCAGTGACCATGGTCAACAGCACCAGCACCTCCTCCCTAGCTGCCCTACACACCAGTGACCATGGTGTTGGAAATTTCCAACACTAATACAATACTATTGTAGTATAATAAATTAGTATTAAAATATACTAATTACTGTAGTTACTAAAATTTACTAACAGTAATGTTCACATGAACTAACCATTATTTCTGCATATGGATACTGGAATTCTTACGAAACCAAGCACCAGTATTGCGTCAGATTATACATAGTTAAACACATTTATATCCAGTGTGTTAGAGAATTGAATGTGATTCTCTAAAATCATCAGTATTCCGTGTGATAATTATTTACGGATAACATAACTCCCAAATAATTCCAAATCGAGAGTTTTTAGTTACAATTGTTATCACGTAATAATTTTACCGTCACACGTGAATGCCATGGAGAAAACTAAAATCTTCTCCATTTCTTGTTTACCACCATAAGACGAGAAATTAATAATATTTAACTCCCTAGAATTACAACCCAGTCTTTATTAATTAAAGCATTTCAGCCACAATTGCGCGAAATAATATTATTCGTGATAAATAAATTCTGTGGCGAATGCGGGACGCTAGTGGGTGAGGGAGAAGCCATTGTTGTGGACGAGACGCCAGGGTGTGTGGCGTGAAGTCTCGTGTTGCGGAATTGAGCAAGAAGGTCTTAGTGTCAGTCTGAGACATGTGACGTTGAGATTATCAGCAAGAATTACCCTGGTACTCAACATAGAATGAGTTAATATTATTCTACGTGATCTGCAGTGACCTGCCAACTAATAACGCGTCGATATTCAAGCCAAGCTATAAACCACGTGTACGACATTGCGGGAGTTTGAGCTTGGGACGCGGTATCGGCAAGCTTCAACATAATTTGTACCCTTAGCTAAGTATATAATTCCCTTTTGATGCATCATTAGAGATTGTATATGTCGGGGCAGCTTGCCGTTAGATCAAGCGACCATAACAAATCCAATGTTAGTACCAAAACAAATTTGTTTTCCATTTTCATGAATATAGATATTCCAGTAGCCTAGTTCAATGCTATGTAATATCCCTTAAATTACAGCTCGCATGTGAGGAGTCCACGAGCTGTTACCTTACTCCGTGTTATTCACCTCCAAGTGTTTCTACGAGGAATTCCGGAGATCCCGAGGATGAGTCGTGAATGATGTCATTGAAATCGTCTTAACGCTAAGACTTTTTGTACTCACTTATTTACTCTAAAATTCATTATTTCTATATCATTTATCTAATCGGATACTGCTCATGTACACTGGAGATAATCCGTGTTTATTTGAATGATTAATTTCTGATGCTAATGATCTTTATAATTACTGGTGATAATCTTCTATAGATTTCTTTAATTTGGTCATAAGATTAGTTATTACACAATGAACTGGTGCACGAACCACACTAGTTCCTAGACGTATATGAAGTTCTAGCAATAACCCCCCAATGTAGGTGTTTGAGGCTTTGATTCAAGTTAATTATCTATACAGCCCATTAATTATTTAAGTGATTATACTTCCTAATATTTAGCCATAGACACTGGTTATTCTTGGAGTTTCTAATGATCACTTTTTATTAGTTTCCCTCTTTTCTTAAAAGTGGGTGGTCCTTCGTAATTGATTTCATTAATTTAATAGTTAAATAAATAGAGTCAAGCCCCAAATATCCCACACATGGTCAACAGCACCAGCACCACCCCAGCTGCCCTACACACCAGTGACCATGGTCAACAGCACCAGCACCTCCTCCCTAGCTGCCCTACACACCAGTGACCATGGTCAACAGCACCAGCACCACCCTAGCTGCCCTACACACCAGTGACCATGGTCAACAGCACCAGCACCACCCTAGCTGCCCTACACACCAGTGACCATGGTCAACACCTCCAGCACCACCTCCCTAGCTGCCCTACACACCAGTGACCATGGTCAACAGCACCAGCACCACCCTAGCTGCCCTACACACCAGTGACCATGGTCAACAGCTCCAGCACCTCCTCCCTAGCTGCCCTACACACCAGTGACCATGGTCAACAGCTCCAGCACCACCTCCCTAGCTGCCCTACACACCAGTGACCATGGTCAACAGCACCAGCACCACCCTAGCTGCCCTACACACCAGTGACCATGGTCAACACCACCAGCACCTCCTCCCTAGCTGCCCTACACACCAGTGACCATGGTCAACAGCACCAGCACCTCCCTAGCTGCCCTACACACCAGTGACCATGGTCAACAGCACCAGCAGCATCCTAGCTGGTCTACACACCAGTGACCATGGTCAACAGCACCAGCACCTCCTCCCTAGCTGCCCTACACACCAGTGACCATGGTCAACAGCACCAGCACCACCTCCCTAGCTGCCCTACACACCAGTGACCATGGTCAACAGCTCCAGCTCCTCCTCCCTAGCTGCCCTACACACCAGTGACCATGGTCAACAGCACCAGCACCTCCTCCCTAGCTGCCCTACACACCAGTGACCATGGTCAACAGCTCCAGCACCTCCTCCCTAGCTGCCCTACACACCAGTGACCATGGTCAACAGTTCCAGCACCTCCTCCCTAGCTGCCATTGGCACCAGTGACCATGGTCAACAGC